GCGGCGGCGGCGGCGGCGGCGGCGGCGGATTGGCCCCCAGTAGCTGCCCAAAGGCGACTGCTGAGTATGCTGAGGCTCGGGCCAGACTCGGGTGTTAAGTATGTGTTGGGAGGGCGGGTGGGAGTGAGCGAGACGGCTTGCGGGCGGGGAGGGAGTCTTGACCTCTCCCCCTACCCCCTCCCCTGCCGCGAGGTGTCGGAACGTCCAAAACGGCCGCGGCGAGGAAGCCAAAATCATTGGTTTTACTATGGTTTGGGCCCCAGTTTGGCCTCTTGGGGGGGGGGGCACGCTAATTGAAGCTCCCCTCTTGTTTGATCGATCCCCTCCAAGACTGCCCCAAGAAGCGCCCAGGAGGCCCCAAGAGGTCCCAAGATGGCCCCAAGATGGCCCCAAGAGGCCCCCAAGAGGCCCCCAGGAGGCCCCCAAAAGGATCCCAAGCGGCCCCAAGAGGCCCCCCCGAGGCACCCAGGACGCCGAAGAGCCCCCCACGACCTCCAAGAGACCCCCAAGACGTCCCAAGACGCCCAAGAGATACCCCAAGAGGCTCCGAGAAGCATCCAAGAGACCTCTGGCCCTTTTGCTTGCTCTCCTCCTCCTCCTCCTTCCTCCTCCTATCCATTCTCGTCCTCCTCCTCCCCCTCCGCCTCCTCCTCCTCCTCCTCCTCATCCTATGAATCCTCCTTCTTCCTACTCCCTCATCCATCCATCCAATTTTCTCCTTCGCCCCCTCTCTCCTTCACACGGTTCGGCCGTCCCCCTCTTTGCTCCCGCACTTCCATGATCACCTCTCAACTCGCCTGGACATCGTTTCTGGATGGACTGGTCGGGATACGCGAAGCGTCTAGAATTTGGTGGAACTCAGCTTTCCCTCGTCGAAACCGAGTGCGAGCCCTGGGAGGAGCACTTCACTTGATTGCTGCGGAGGGGCGATCGACAACAATTATCTGTAGAAATGAAAACTCAACAACGACAACAACAACAACAACAACAACAACAACAACAACAACAACAACAACCATAGCATCAACAACGACGACGATGACGACAACGTAAACAACCACAGTATCAGCATCAGCACCATCATCAGCAAAAGCATCATCATCATCGTCATCACACCAACATCATCAGCAGCATCATCTTCAACAGCAACATCATCCTGATCATCACTAGAATCGTCATCATCAGCACCAGCATCAGCAGTATCAGCATAGTCATTATCAGCATCAATTTCATGATCGTCGTCGGCATCCTCATCAACATCATCAGCATCATCAGCATCATCATCATCAGCATCAGCAGTATCATCAGCATCATCATCCTCAACCTGGTAATCCTCATCTGCATCATCAGCACCATCACCGGCATCAACACCATCCTCGGAAGCAGCATCAGCAGCAACATCAGCATCATCAGTATCGTCAGCATCATCATCGGTATCGTAATCACCCACTCACATCTCGCAATCATCAAATCCTCTTCATCATCCTGATGCCCCCAATCATGTCCTCGTCCTCCTCATCTTCCGTATCCTTGTCATCACCATGTTTCCCCTCCGTTACCTAATCATCATCCCGCTCATCTTCCTCCACATCCGCCTCCCCCTGATCATCCTCGTCCTCAGGATTATCCTCCACCACTCCCCCACTCCATCTTCCTGCCTCTCCTCGACATCATCTAACAATTCTCTTCCTCCTCCACCTCCTCCTCGTCATCCTTCGCCTCCTCCTCTTTAAAGGTGGTCCGCGGGCCTCCAGATGCCTTCACAGGTCCCAACAGGCCTCCCGAAGCCCCAATAAGTTGCCGATTGGTATGCAAGCCCTCACCTCCTGGAGGCGAAGAGGAGGAGAACACGACGGCAGGACAGGGACAAATCTCACCAGCCCTCTGGGCGTAGGTGGTTTAACGAGTTTTGTCTTCGCTCTGCCAAGATCCCTCCTCCCCCTACTCGGGGGAGGGGCTTACTCCTCCACCCCTCCCCCCGTCCCCTCCCTTGGGCCTGGAAGGGGGGGGGGCGCGAGGCGCCAGAGCCCCCAAGATGGCCCAAGGTGGCTCCATGAGGGTCTCCGAGAGCCCAAGATGGCCCCCAACATGGCTCAAGATACCTCAAGATGGTTCAGGATAGCTTCCGACGCACATCCACTGGGCCTCAAGACGGCCCCACGACGGTTGCAAGTGCCCTCCGAGACCTCCAAGGACCCCCCAAAGGGGCCCACATGCTCCCAAACTAAGGAAAAATCAATCTGGCTTGCCTTCTCGCCTTTTCGCTTCCACTGGGCCCTTGAGGCCTTACGATGGCCCCAAGACGGCCCAAGAGAACCCCAAGAGGGGAAAGATAGGGGCCCAAGAGGGCCCCAAGAGTACCCAAGAGCACCCCAAGAGCGCCCCAAGACAACCCTACGATGCCAGCTTTGAGCCTCTGGAAGGGGGGACTGGATTCCCCCCCTCTTTTTGAGTCATGGGGGCCAAGACGGCCCCAAGATGCCTCCCAGACCCCCTCAACGAGCCCCAAAAGGCCTCAACGGTACCCTTAAAAGCTCCGTGAAGACCAAAAGAAAAACCCAAGACAGTTCCAAGAGACCTCCGAGAAAACGCTTCCAAGGCGGTTGTTACACTGCACGCTTCTGCACTTCCCTGATCAAGGCAACTCGCCTGCCGACCTGCTTCCGGATGGGCTGGTGGGGATACTTTTTGGTACGCGGGCGCGCGAAGCGAGTCGAACGCCGTGCAAGCAGGGGAAGGCCGTGCCACAAGCTAAGCTGGTGGGGATAGTTTTTTCTGTCGCGTCCGCCAGCGGAAGCGCAGGCGGAGTCAGAAGCGCTCCGGGACACGAAGCGGCCTAATTAGCTACTAAACGCGCCACAGGCCGGTCGGCCCACTCAAGCAGCGGCGGGGCTGCGCTGAAAAGCTGGCGAGCTGAGGGCGTCCAGGGAAGCTGGTGGGGATACGCGCAGCGCCAAGAATTCGGACAGGGGTGAATCGGGGATCTCTGAGATCGGGCGGTTCTGGAAGATGTAGAATGGAGGCCAGTCCACAAGAAACCTTCCGCAAGAAGCCCAACCCTGAGACCCCAGGACGTCCGTTGGCTTTTGGCGCGGGAGCGTCACGCTTTCCATAGCAGAGCCACCGAGACCCAAGAAGCCCAGCGCACCCTGGAGACAAGCGAATGATATTTTCCCTCTGCGGCGTCACGCTCCTTACCCGGGCCACACACACCTCCCGGGTAACGCTGACGCTCGTGCCGTGGGGAAAAGGGGGGGCCTCCATGCTGGGAGCGGACCCCCTGCAAGCAAGGCGCTGTGCTCACAGGCATGGCGCGGTCTGAACGGCACGCACTGGTGCTCACAAACGTGTCGTGACGCTCGCAGTCGTCGTCGTCGTCGTCGTCGCCGTCGCCGTCGCCGTCGCCGTCGCCGTCGCCGTCGTCGTCGTCGTCGTCGTCGTCGTCGTCGTCGTCGTCGTCGTCGTCGTCGTCGTCGTCCAATGCAGCTGGCCATGGCCCAGCTACCGAGGGCTGGTTCGACCACTCTTCCGCAAGTGCAAAATGCGGTGACTCTCTCTCTCTCTCTCTCTCCCTTCTAGCCGGTGCTCGGTTGCAGTGCGAAACTGTCAACGCGCCTAATAAGGACGCGCGCCTTCTCCAGGGTACCCTTGTGTCCTTGCCTCTGAGGCCTGTCCTTTGCCGCTTTCATTGGCCAGTTCTGCAACAAAAAACCAACTTCGGCTTCCAAGGGTCTTGCGCCCTGAGCACCCGTCCTTAACGCACGTGTTGATTGTAGACCCAGCGCCATGGAGAAGATGAAGACTGGGCGGCCCCGCGCCATCTCCCGCGGGCTCTGTGGTGTGCGCAGGCGCTGTGGTTCACGCAGGCAGCGTGGTGCACACCCGCGCTGCGGTGCACACGGCTGCTGCGGTGTACACAGGTGCTGTGGTGTACGCAAGCGCTGTGGTGCACGCAGGCACTGTGGTGTACAACGACGCTGTGTTGCACGCGGCTGCTGTGGTGTACACAGGCGTTGTGGTGTACGCAGGCATTGTGATGCACGCGTGTAGAATCCTCAGGGGCTCCAATTTCCATAGGGACTCTTTCAAAACGTGTATATAAAATGTTCGTTTTGTGTGGAACCCAGAGGCACCCCGATGTCCACAGGGATTCTTTTGATCAAACACTGTGAAATTCAGAGGCACTCCGCTTTCCATAGCGATTCCTTTTCACAATTTATATAAAAAGTTGGTGTTGTCGAATCCAAAGGCGCTTCATTTTCCATGGGGGTCCTTGGATAGTCCTATTATAAACAATGATGGCCTGTAGCATATTAATATAAAACAACGGTTGCTGCAGTATACACAGGCACTGCGGTGTGTATGGGCGACGTGGTGCAGCAGTGCACGCGGCTGTTGTGGTGTACGGAGGCACTATGATGTGTACACAGGTGGCGCTGTGTTGCACGCAGGCCTTGGGCAGTGTCGTGTACACAGGCAATTGATGCGCCGGTGGCGCGGACGCACCCTGGCGGGCGCACGCCGCGGCCGCTGTTACCGTTACCCTCCCGCCCGACCCCCCCCCGGGTAACAGCCATTACCTGGGAAGAGAAAAAAGAAAAAAGGGTCACCTAGCAGGGTATTCCTTGGCATGGGTTTCCACAGTATCTGGCACCGCGGCCTCCTCCGAGATCTCAGGAACGCTCTGCGGGCGCTCTGGCACGCCCTGGAACGCTCTTACCCCTGTCCTGGCCCCGCCCGCGAGGACGCCGCCGCCGAGACGATGCCGCCGCCGACGACGACGAGCACGACGACGCCGCCGCCAACGCCGCCGCCGCCGCCGCGTCCGCCGCCGCAGACGCCGCCGCCGCCGCAGCCGCAGCCGCCGCCGCAGCCGCAGCCGCCGCCGCCGCCGCCGCCGCCGCCGCCGACGACGACGACGACGACGACGACGACGACGACGACGATGGGGCCCGCCGCGCCAACCGGCGCCGGGTCACCGTTTCTGTGCCCTCGGGTCGCCTTGTGCAGGCCCGGGCCCGTGTGCCACTTCAGCCCCCTGTGCGCGGGGAGACCCCGAGGGGGGAGGGAGGGTCCTCCTCCCCCCCCTCCTCCTCCTCCTCCTCCCCTCCTCCTCCTCCTCCTCCACTCATCCTCCTCCTCATCTCCTCTGACTCCTCATCAATCATCATCATCATTCATCATCATCATCCATCATCATCATCATCATCCACCCCACCCACCACCACACCACCCCACCATCATCATCATCATCATCATCATCAGTAGCAGCAGCAGCAGCATCATCATCATAGAAGCGTGCTAACACCTCGATACATCCCGTCCTCCCCTCATCCTCCCCCTCCTCCTCCCTCCTCCTCCTCCTCCTTCCTCTCCGCTCCTCCTTTCTCCTCCCCCCCCTCCTTCTCCGCCTCCCCATCCTCCTGCTTTCCCTCCTCCTGCCTCTTCCTGCTCACCCTCCTTTTGCCCCTCCTCCTGCTCCTCCTCCTCCTCCACCACCTCCTCCTCCTCCTCCACCACCACCACCTCCTCCTCCTCCTCCTGATCATCATCATCCTCTTTCCCAACCTCCCCCTCTTCATCCCCCTCCCCTCCTCTTCCTCGTCCAGCCACCTCGATACAGTCGATACCCCTCCCGTTCCTCTCATCCTTCTCCCCCTCCTCCAAGCGAAACTCATCTGGGAACGAGGATCTCCCGCCTCGGCGGCGGTGGCTGCCCTGGCAGCGGGAGCGGCGTCACCGACGGGAGGGCCTCGAATTCATCCAGGGTCTGGCGCACCTCCTCGCCCAGCGTGGCCGTCACGAACACCCTCCACGACCCCTCTTGTTTCAGCTCAAGATGCCAAAAATGTCGCACCAACCATCCCCACATTCAACTGCCGCGTCCTCCTCCTCCTCCTCCTCCTCCTCTCTCCTCCTCCTCCTCCTCCTCCTCCGTCTCCTTCCTCCTCCTCCTCCTCCTCCTCTCCTCCTCCTCCTCTTTCCTCCTCCTCCTCTCTTCCTCTCCTCCTCCTCCTCTTCCGCCTGCTCCTCGCGCCCAGAAATCATCGTCAGCAGCAGCACCATCGTCATCATCATCATCATCATCATCATTCATCATCATCATTCATCATCATCAGATCATCATCATCATTCATCAGCATATCATCTGCATCATCAGCATCATCATCATCATCAGCATCATCAGCATCATCATCATCACCATCATCATCATCACCATCATCATCATCATCATCGTCATCATCATCATCATCATCATCATCATCATCATCATCATCACCACCACCACCATCATCATCATCATCATCATCATCATCAGCATCAGCATCAGCATCATCAGCATCAGCATCATCATGATCATCAGCATCATCATCATCACCAGCACCAGCGCACTCAACATCACCATCAGCATCAGCATCAGGATCACCATCATCAGCATCGTCATCATCATCATCATCAGCAGCATCATCATCACAATCACCAGCACCAGCACCAGCACCAGCACCAACACCAGCACAAGCATCATCATCACCACCCCCACACCCTCAGCATCACCTGTATCAACCCGTCACCCAGATTGTCGCCGTCGCCATCCACTGCCGCGTTCCATCACACCATCATCCGCTCGAGTCCCCTCCGTCCCCCTCCCCTTCCCCGTCCTCCTCCTGCTCCTCACCTCTCCCCTCCCTTTCCCTTCCCTCCCTCCCCCTCCCCTCTCCCAGTCCTCCTCCTGCTCCCCCTCCTCTTCCTGCACCACACCACCCTGGTCCCCGAAACGGACAGCTCTCTCCTGAGGAACACTGGGCCTGTCGGGCCGGGCGAAGGGGGGGGAAAGCAAAGGGGGGGTTGGAGAGAGTCAGCTCACGTAGCTGATTTTCCCGGCGCCTCCCGGCGCCGGAGGCGGCTGTGTACCGAGGAATGGGCCCCTCGGTGGGGCCGAAACCAGCTGCATGCAGCAGAGTTCGTATCGCCCCCTTTCCCACCCCCCCCCTCCCCCTCTTTCGTCCGGCCCGAGCCTGGCCAGCGCCCCGTCGCCGCCCCGTCGCCGCCCCGCCGCCGCCCCGCCGCCGCCCCGTCGCCGCCCCGTCGCCCGCGCCCGGCCGGCGGCCTTGCGCCTACGTTTGAGTCGGGCCTGTCCCCCTACAGGGAGATATTCGACGAAACATAAAAAATATTACCCCCAAAAATAGCCAAAAATAAAAAAAAATACCCCAAAATGCTCTCAAAAATCCCCCTGTAGGGGGACACGCCCGACATAAGCCTACGTGCTCGCCGTCGCCGCCCCGTCGCCGCCCCGTCGCCGCCCCGGCGTCCGGGCCACCGACTGGCGGCCAGGCGGTTGCGCGCGGGCCCGCCGCCGCCGCGTCGCCGCCCACGGAGTCGCACTCTCGGCAGGCCTACTTCAAAAAGCTCGGGCTTCGTAGGGATGTCAGGGCCGGGTGTCCCGAAGCCAGTTCTTCACTGAAAGACTCAGTGCTTCACCATGATGCTTCTGCGCGCGCTGGGGGGGGCAGGATCCCTGTCAGATTCGCCGGCCCAACGGGCCAGAGGCGTGCTAAGATCTCCAGAAGCAGGTACGTAATAGTTTACATTTACACAGAATTACATATGCAGATGTGTCTATATATATATATTATATATATTATATATATATTGTATACACATATACATACATGTATACATGCATGTGTAAATATACATAGACATATATGCATACGCAGATATATATTATATATATATATATAATATATATATATACATATATATATATATTATATAATATACTCCTCTTCCTATATTTTTACAAGCCCAGGGGGGGGGGGATGCCGCCCCCGCCACAAAAAAATGGATCCCCGGGATCTGGGGTTCCCGGGCTCCCTTGGACGTCCTTGGAAAAAGGTCACCCAGCTTTCTGGGTCTCCACAAACGCCTTGCCAGCAGACCCAGAGCGATCAGAGGGGTCATCAGAAAGGCTCAATGGAGGCCCCAGACAGCACAAGAGCGCTCCAAGAGGGACTCCAATTGCTTCAGGACGGCCCAAAAGACCCCCAAGGCACCCCAAAAAGCTTTCCAAGGGGCCTTCAAAACACAAGAATCGTCTCATTCCCTTCCTAAAACTTACAATTTTAGCATATTCGCCTTTCGGATTTCATCAGCTTTCAAGACGGCTTCAAAGCCCCCGAGATCGCCTCAAGACGCCCCAAGAGGCCCCCAAGAAAGCTTCAAGACGGCCGAGCTGGGCCCCACGATCGCCCACGAGAACCCCAAGACAGCCCATAATGGACCCAAGAGGCCCCCCAAGGGCTCCCAGCACAGACCCAAAAGGGCCATGGGAGGTCCCCAGAAGTGCCCAAGATGGGTCCAAAGGGGGTTCCAGCGAGCCCAAGCTCCCCAAGACGGCCCAAGAAGGCCCCAGGACGGCCCATGAAGGCGCCAAAACGGCCCACGAGGGCCCCGAAAACACCCCCACGATGTTTCCGAATGCCAACATTCATCGATTTTGCTCCCATGACATTCCGCATTGTGACCCAGTCGTTGAGGGTCCCGTGGCATGCAGCGAAGATGTCCGAGGATGCCCCCAACAACTTTTACAAGATGATCGTGAGGCCTCCAAGGGTCCCAGAAGCCCCTGAGAGGCAATCGACTCCTACGCGCGCACGCGCATGCACGTTCCGTATCTACGTCTAGGTGTATACACTATACTTACATTGTTGCATGTGTGTATACAGCGTACATATGCACATATAAAGTTATGGGTGCAAGGGTCTCAACGTGCATATGCAACTCGTACGTGCTTTGTCGGTGCACTCCCTTATGTATACGTATAGATATGTAAATGTATATGCATACATATATATGTATATATATATATATACATATAGATATGCATGTGCCTGCGTGCGTATCTCATTCGAGCGCGCTTGGCGGCCCATGGTGGTCTCAAGACGAAACGTACCCTGCGAGACACACGGCAAAATCCCTGAGATCCCCAGCAAGGTTCCGTCAGAGATGCCGCTGCTCCTAGACGCCGCCTTCGGGGCCTCCCAGAGAACCGCGAGAAGACCCAAGATGCCCCGAAGAGGTCGCCAAGATTATCTAAGAGGGCTCCGAGACGCCACAAGATCGTTCCAAGACGACCAGGATGGCCCCCTGACAGCTCAAGAGCCTCCCAGACGGACCGAAAAGCCTCCATAAACACTCCCCCAAAAAAGATAGAATCCATCGATGCGCATTGTTCGAAGATTTCCGGCTCTCCCACGTTCAGCTATTCGACGCTCCAAGACGGCCCAAAAACCCCCCAAGACCGCCCCAAGAAGTTTCAGAAAATGCCCCAAGACGGCCCGAGCAGACGCTGGAACGGCCAAGGAAGCCTCCAAGACGGCCAAAGAGAGCCCCTGGACGCACCCAAGAGGGGGGCCCACAGGAAGAACCCGAACTGACATTTCGAACCCTCGGTCCCGAAATGCACATGGGACACCACAGGGTGTCTCCAAGAGCCCCCCATGAGGCCCCAAGAGGCCCTCAAAACCATCCAACAGAAGCGGCTCCCATAGCCCTCCGACAAAAATCACAAGAGGCGTCCGTGATGAGGAAAAGGATAAGGAGAAGGAGGAGAAGAAGGAGGTGCGAGGTGCGAGCTATACGACGTAGTCGTGTGAGAAAGAGAGCCCCGCCTCCCCTGACCTCGTAGCCGAACTGGGCGACAAAGTAGTCGAACGCGACGAAGCACAGGAAGACGAGCGTCAATACTGCTGGGAATTGAATTGAAACCGCAAGAGCGACTCTTCCACCAAACAAACACCGAATATACGTCCCCACAAGCCAGAAACAAACAATGATGTATGCCTTGCTTGCCCTGTGGGCCTGGGCCAGGCTCAGCCAAAATACAGCGAGGCCCCTTCGATGTCGTGGAGGAGAGCCCGACTCTTGCAGTGGCCCAAACAAAATGCCTGAGCGGAAAAATTCCACCCACGAAAAAGCATAGCTACTGGTTCTGGCAGTTGTCGTTCGGCGTTGAAGGGGAGGGCGAAGCAGACGTGGAAGGCTGCCCCTGCTGCTCCGTAGCCCTGTTCAACGCGGCCAAGACATCTGGTGTGAAAGCGAAAGCAGCTCCTTGCCGACGGTCGGCCACGGCAGCAGCGGTTCCGCCCCGCAAAATCTCGCCATCTGCAACCAGCGCCGCTCGCCGCCTGGCCCATGCGCCGCCGTCGGCCGACGACGCGCCAGGGCGAGGCTGGGGGGGATCCTGCGAACCCACTCCTCCTGGCCCTTCGCACCCTCCTTCAGCACGTGGTGCGCCAGGCTGATCTCGTGAGCTCGCACCCGTCGACTCCTGGCGCTCTGCGCCGACAGGTGAGGCGACAGGCCCAGCAACGGCCGCATCGACTTGGCCAGAGGGCGACGCCGCCCGAGCAACCTCCGCCTCGTTCGCCGTCACGTCCGCTGCCTGCACCGGGCCTGCCGCGCCGCCTCCGCCCTGGGCAGCCGCCCCCCGTGGGGACCCTGGGCAGGACAGCACCTGCTCCACGCCCTGCTCCTCGGTGAACTCCTCCCGCGTCTCCTCCTGCTATTCACCTCGAGTGGCCGCCTGCGCCTCGGACGCCTGCAACGCCGAGACGAGCGCCGAGGCAAGCCGCGTGGGCTCACTGCCACGGTGCACCAGCGCCGCGAAGGCGTCGAGGAGGTGGGAGACGGCACGTGCCTCAGCTCGGCGGCATTGGGCGCGCCGCCCTGCCGCTGTGCGGTTGGGCCGCCGCCGCGGCCGCTCCGGAGCGCCGAGGCCGGACATGGAGGCGGAGCGAGAGCTCCG